CTCGCCCTGGAAGGGCTCCTGGCCGGCCCAGAGAGGCCCCCAGACATCGGGCGTCTCGAAAAAATCAAGGAGGGTTTTCTTACTTTTGGCGTCTCGGAGCTCTCGCCGGCCCTCGGGACCGTCAAAAAACGACGGACGAAGAACCAGCCCCAGGGGAAGTGGTCGGGAGGTCGGGGGCCCGCGTCTCGAAAAAATCGAGACGTCGGATGTCTGGGGCCCCGAGGAGGGCTTCCGACGGCGCCAATACGGCCAGGAGCGCCGCAGACGGCCAAGAAGCCCCTCGAGGAGAAGTCGCAGGCCCCCGGGAGGCCCGAAGCAGCCCCCGAGAGACCTCCGAGAGGCCTCCAGGAAGCTCCCAGGAGGCCCCAGGAGTGCACCCAAGAGACTCCCAAGAGGCCTCCTTCTGCTGCTTCGCCTCCTGATCCTCCTGCTCCTCCTGCTCCTGCTCCTGATCCTGATCCTGCTCCTGCTCCTCCTCCTCCTCCTCTTCCTCCTCCTCCTCCTCCTTCTGCTCCTCCGTAGCCATTTTGGCTCAAGTTTTGGCTCCTCATGCTCCCTCCACAGCAAATCGATTGACACATGATGGGGTCATGAGTTTGGTCTCGTTGCTCGCAGTGCCGCCAGTGTGAGCACAGTGATGTTCTAGTCATGCAGAAGAATGTTTGCTGAGGGTGTGGCTCGCAGGTTGAGATGCACAAGCCGCGCAGCAGCTCCAAGCCCAGAATCACCTTTGACGGCGGCGCGGAGCTGGTGCACCCGAAGAGTATCCTCCGCTCCCGCAGCACCTCGCCTGCAGGTGCAGGCGACGGAGTCGGAGATGGCGGCGAAGGAGACTGAGGTTCGAGGTTGGCTCAAGCGCATGGACCCAGTTGCGCCAGGAGATCACCGACCGCATGAAGAAGAACAGGAGGTCGGAGGACGGCTCGGGCGTTCGCGGGAACGCCGACGCCCCCACCGACGGCCAGGCAGCCCCCGCAGCCCCTCCCCCCGCCGCGCCTGGCGCAGCGGCAGCGGCTTCTGGCGACGACCCCACGCCAGAGGAGGTCGCCAAGGAATCGCAGAGGCTGCCCGAGGCGAGGTTCCAGGCGCAGGCGCAGGCAGCAGCCTTCCGCGGCAAGGGTGGCAAGGACGGCGGCAGAGGCGAGGGCCAGGGTACTGACCAGCCTGGCGCTGCTGCCTCCATCCCTGCGAGTGCCGCCCCAGCGGGCGCTGGCACGGCCGCTCCGCCCAAGCAGGAGCGACCAGGCTCCGCAGAGGCGGAGCAGAGCGCGCCCTCGACGCCCTCGGCGGAGGAGGAGACGCGCGCAGAGGGGGTAGGGCCAAGATGCCCTATGCTGGTGTGACGTGCATGAAGGAGAAGATCTGGTCGTGGATCGAGCAGGCACGGGAGCAGCACGAGCACATATCGATGTCGTTGAGACTCACGTTCGCACCACGACGGGCCTTCAGACACGGAAAGCGCAGTGCCGGCAGCACGGACTTCGCATGATCGCCAATGCAGCTCGACCCCCGTCAGCGTGCTGGTCATCCTGGGCAGGCCGAGCACGCGAACGAGGGAGGGGAAGGGTCATTGGCGCGTCGGCACCTTCAATGCCACAGAGCAGGGGCCATCAAAGCCGCAGGCTCCAAGTTGTGGGCTCCAGCGAGCTCGTCTCTGGACGGCTTCGCGGCAACGGTGGTCCATTTCCAAGGTTGCAGCATGGTCGTGGCCACGTGCTACTTGCACTCCAGCGTGGGCTTCGCAGGCGCCAGCGTCGGAAGGATCAAGCGCCTGTCCGCCTGTCTGCACGCACTTCAGCTACCATGGGTAGCCGTTAGAGATTTCAACATGAGCCCGCAAGCTTTCGCTCGCACAGGAGTGTCGCAACACACTGGGAGCTACGATCACGACTGCCGGTGGTGAGGCTCCGTGTCTGCTGTCTGCAGGGACTCGCTTAGCTGTTCTGCTCTGCAGTGGGGCTGCGAGGCCCTTTCTCCCGTCAGATTCCCCCGTTTGTCCCCGTGCCGTGGCGACCGCATCTTGGTCTGGAGGCTGAGCTTCGGAGCTCGGGCGCCCAGCTCCTCACGATGGGGCATGGTGCGCCCTGCTGGCCTGCCCCAGCTCCAGAGGCCCTCCACCGCTCCCGCGGTGGGCTCCAAATCCAGCCGGGTCTGAGCCCGTAGACAAGCGCAGCGGCAGCTCGCTGTGGCTTGAGCGAATCCAGTCCTTGGCTGGGGACTGTGCGCAGTCCTCCGACATTGGGGATGCACCCGTAGGCGAGGGGCCTAGGGGTACTGGGCTCTCGCTTGCAGATGTCTGTGCTGATGGTTTCGAGGTAGGTGACAGTGTCCATGTTGATGTCTCGGCGTGGCATGGGGATCTTGTTAATATTTACCTAACAGCGAAAACTGATAGGTTTCTAATGGTTTCAATAGAGAGCATCTGATGCCTCAGAAGGGAGGTCTGGGCGGCATCCGTTCAGCGAGGGCCGGGCTCAGGGCCGGGCTCGTTTTAAGAAAACAATCGCACACTTCGTGCTCTTCGACCTCCCAGAACTCTACTCCCGGGCACATTTTTGCTCAAAGTTCCGAAGCGATTGTAGGCACTTCGTGCTCTTCGGACCTTCCGAACTCCATTCCCGGACCCTTTTGGATGTCGGAGGCCACCTGTAAGCCACTTCGTGCTCTTCGACCTCCCAGAACTCCATTCCCGGGCTACATTTTGAAGGGCCGGAGCCAACTGTAGGTCACTTCGTGCTCTTCGACTTCCTAGAACTCCATTCCCGGGCCATCATTTTGGATGCCCGGAGCCAACTGTAGGCCACTTCGTGCTCTTCGACTTCCCAGAACTCCATTCCCGGGCATGATTTTGACTGCCCGGAGCCAACTGTAGGCCACTTCGTGCTCTTCGAGTTCCAAGGCTCATTCGGGGGTACATTTTGAAAATGCCAGAGCAACTGTTAGGCAATACGTGTTCTTCGGGCACATTTTGCTATTTCTCTCCGTGAGGTACTGTTTCTCTCACCGAATTGCCGAATGGCTGTGTTCTGTTCGTCATCGTGCAGGGCAAGACGGCGGACCCAGGCGCCATCGTGCACTGGGCGTTTCCGCCAGAATCTAATACTTGTAGTAGGCATGGGACTCCCGTGGGCCACTCTCTTGGCCAAATTTCATGGTGGGTTGCTCTTGCTCCTGCTCCTCCTGTTTGTCTGCATGCATGTCCTCCTCTTTGTTTGCATTGCATTGCATTGCAGACGCATAGCGTTGCAATCGCACTCTTCCCTCCCATCCTCGCAACAGGACCCCTATGGAAAACATTCCAAAGGGATTCCAGTGGAACGCCTCACAGCAGGAATCCTTTGGAAACCGCAACAAAGGGATTCGATTGGAAAGCGCCACACAGGGATGTGGGAAGCGAAAAACCAAAAAAAACACAAGGAAAAACCAAAAAAAACAAAGAAACCAAACACCAACAGCCGAAAAACCAAAAAAACACAAGGAAAAACCAAAAAAAACAAAAAAAACAAAGTTTACAACACTTTCGCTGTCAGGGCGGTGGGGGTGGACGAAGTATCGAAATCTTTGGTTTTTTTGTTTTTTTTGGTTTTTCCTTGTGTTTTTTTGGTTTTTCGGCTGTTGGTGTTTGGTTTCTTTGGTTTTTTTGGTTTTTCCTTGTGTTTTTTGTTGGTTTTTCGCTTCCGCCACCCCTCCCCCTGGGGAGCGGGCGGCTCCAGGAGGCCCCAGGAGGCCCCAGAGAGGCCCCAGAGAGGCCCCAGGAGACCCCTGGAGGAGACCCAGGAGGGAACCCAGGGGCATCGCAAATTCAATGTCCCTTCGATGCCCCTCCCCTTTCCTCACCTCTCTCTCCCTCAACCAAGTGTTCTGGTTACCCTCTCTTTCGTGCCCGCCATCCCCTTCCCGCGACGGCAGCAGACTCAAGGCCCAGCTGGTTGCTGAGGATGGGTGCCTTTCGGGTGCCTTGCGGGTGCCTTGCGGGTGCCTTAGCAATTAGCGGAGTGCATTGCGAGTATACACGTGCCGCGCAACTCCCCAAATATACCATTCAGAAGGGGGAAACGCTCGAGATTTTTTTTTTGGGGTTTTTTTTTGTTGTTGCCGTTGCATATGAACGGAAAGCGAAGCATTTCTCGTTAAGTGCAAAAATCAGATTTGAAGAAGTATCATAATCATTATGACGTTGTGCATTTTTACTCTCGGCGTCGACCCCCGAATTCTGAGGATGGGTGCCTTTCGGGTGCCTTGCGGGTGCCCTTCGGGTGCCTTTCGGGTGCCTTGCGGGTGCCCTCCGGGTGTTTTTCGGGAGCCGTGCGGGAGCACTTCGGGTGCTCTTCGGCCGTCTTCGGGTACCTTTCGGTAGCCAGCAAGGGGATTGGGAGGAGGCGGAAGAGAAACCCAGGATCCCAAGAGGAACCTAGGAACCCAGGAGGAACCGAGGAACCCAGGAACCCAGGAGGAACCCAGGAACCCAGGAGAAATCCAGGAACACAGGAGGAACCCAGGAACCCAGGAACCTTGGAGGAACCCAGGAAACCAAAAGTAACCCAGGAGGAACCCAGGAACCCAGGAGGAACCCAGGAACCCAGGAGGAACCCAGGAACCCAGGAGGAACCAAGGAACCCAGGAACCCAGGAGGAACCCAGGAACCCAGGAGAAATCCAGGAACCCAGGAGGAACCCAGGAATCCAGGAACCTTGGAGGAACCCAAGAAACCAAGAGAAACGCAGGAGGAACCCAGGAACCCAGGAGGAACCCAGGAACCCAGGAGGAATCCAGGAACCCAGGAGGAACCGAGGAACCCAGGAACCTAGGAACCCAGGAGGAACCCAGGAACCCAGGAACCCAGGAGAAACCCAGGAACACAGGAGTAATCCAGGAATCCAGGAATCTTGGAGGAACCCAGCGTTTCCTGACCCCCCTCGCTGCTCGTAGCTGTTTGGGCCCAATCGCAACGCCGAGCGTGCGCCTTCTGGCAAACCCTCAGCGTCATTCAAGACCGCGGCATGGCCGCTTACGAGGACCTGAAATCGGCGACCGAGGGCTGGTATTGCCGCCCTCTTCCTGCACCAATGGTAACGGGCGTGCTGCCCCGTGGAGAAATCGAGCCTTTTCTCGAACTCACGGACGACATCGGGGCCAACGAGAACCCACTGGTGCACTACATTGATTTCATCGCGGGGCATAGAGACCCAGTCCCCCCCGAGCTCGACGAGCAATACAAGGCGGCCTGGAAGGACGACAGCTACCACAATCTGCCGCCACCGTTCGGGTTCAAGACGGCGCCGCAACACCACATGACGCTGCAGATTTGTATCCTTGACGCCCCCGACGGCACGAAGACCATAATCAAACACTGCGTCATCCCCAACAAGGCGAAGACGGCCGTCTTCGCCAGCATGGCTTTCGGGAGCGTCAAGAAGCTCTGCTTCCAGCATCCCAAGGTGCACGATTGGGGAAACAAAAGGGTGGCGAGGGCGCGGCGCCCTCGCCATTTTGTTTTTCGATCGCGCCGCCAGGTGGGGGTCAAGGTCTGGCAATACGCCTTCGAGCGGTTCGGAGGCAAACAGTGTCGGGCTTTCTTCTTATCGCCAGACGTCAAGACGGCCACCAAGGTGAACGAGTTCTACGAGCTCTCGGACGAGGATATAAACGCTGGCTTCGAATACATCCTGAAGAACGCGCCTCGCTCCACGGCCGAGCTCAAGCAGCTGGTATGGCAGACGAAGGCGCCACGCAAAGGCGCCCCCCTCTACGGCTGGCCCGTCCCCCTGGTGGCGAAGGCGTTGAGCGGGCTCGCGGCGGAGGGCGCGCTTGCAAAGAAGGAGTTCGAAAACAACGTGATCCTCTGCGAGGACCACTTCAACCTTCGCGTTCTCGAAGCCATGCAGGTGCTGATCAACAGCAACGATTCGCTTGTCCTCATTGGGGAGCCCAACATCGGCAAGACGCCGCTCGGGCGCGCATTCCTGATGGCAATGTGCCGCAGGAACGCGCGGGTCCGCGGATTGGACCCCGCGGGTTGTTGCATCCGCGTCACGCCTGAGATCGATTTCTTGCGAGGCGAGCCCGGCGACATTCTCATGGGGGACTTTGTGGACGATGGCTGCTTGAATCTCCTCCCGCCCAAGATGGTGAAGGCCTTGCTCGACGTCGGCCAGTGCGAGAGCATGTGCTGGGCCAGGTGGGGCGCAACGAAATGGAAGAAGGGGGAGCCTCGGTGCTTGGCGGACCAGACTTACGATCCGAAAGCCGAGAAGCTGGACCGCTGGCCCTCCGTGAAGTTCCAGGAATTCTTCGAGCTCGTGCGCCCTGCCTTCTCCGAGAAGGCGACCCGCGCATGCATGCTGGCTTTCTTCAAGCGTTCTGCGTTTCTGGTGAATACCCAGGAATACCTCGACTGGCGCCCAGCAGGCACTGAGGAGAAAGATGTTCCGCGCATTAACTTCAAGGGCGAGACCTTCCTGACGGCCGAGGGGAAGCGCCTGTACCTACTGCAGAAGGACGGCGACATGACCCCGCCCGCCAATATCCAGCAGCTCTTGGAGAAGGAGCGGCTCCTCGTGGACTCCGCCGTGGAGAAGAACCGCAAGAAGTCCTCAGACGCGGCCCTCGGTTCTTTGCCAGCCCCGTCGTTCGTCCAGGTTTGGGGGTTCAAAGATGCGGCCCTGCGGGGCGGGGTCCTAGGGCTGAGGGAGCACTTCAACGCGTTCTGAACGCTGAAACGCTGCCTCGGCCTTGGCGGACATCATCTTTGAGCCCCTCCCGACAGGTGAAGCGAGAGCGCGTGTCCCCTGAGCGCCTGACGTTTCGGAAGCGCCTGCTCTCGGGGATGACGCTCAATGTCGACAGCCCGTCCCCCGCCAAGCAACATGCCGCGGCGTCGTCCACTGCGTCTGGGCCCGCGGCCCCGCCCCGCGACGATCTCGAGGTCCAGCTCTCGCAGATGCTGGCCGAGGAGGGGGCGCCCGCTGTGCCTGCGATGCCCTCGGCTGCGGAGGAGGACGAGGCGCACGCTTTCCTCGGTTCTCAGAGTCAGGAGTGAGCGGGCGGCCGCGAGAGCGCGGGCGGGCAGGTGCGGCGCGCGGGTTTCGCGGGCAGCGATGGCACCCTCAGCTCGGGCGCTGATGCCGCGCGCGCTGCCGAGGTGGCGCGCGCCGCTGCGCCCCAGCTGAGCTGGGGGCGCGCGCCGCCAACATGTTGTGTCTTGATAGGGTTATCCACAAGTACCGCGCGTTATCATGCCATTTTCTTTTGCCGTTCTAAGAAATCCAGCCGCCCCCGCAGACGTCGTCGTCGTCGCCGCCGCCGCCGCCATCGCCGTCCATCCGGTTTGGTTGCTGTCATCGCCGCAGCCGTTTCTTGGCCGAATCGGCAGCCAGAGCCGCGGGTGCCCGCGCCTCTCGCGCACTGCCTCGCCCGTGCTATCGCGCCTGGAGCCAGGGATGACCGTCCACCGTCGCCCCGCCGCCTCCGAGGCCAGGGGTCGAAGCCGCACGCGAGGGCAGCGCTTCCCCCAGAAGCGTCGCAACAAGCGGTCGGTGCAGGCCGCCTCGCGCCGCCGCGACATTTTGGCCAAGGCGCGGACGGCGCGCAAGGCGGCCCAGGCCAAACGCAAGCGCTTGGAAGCCACGGGCGTGTTCTACACGCCCAAGCGCCAGCGGGTGTCCCGCGTGCGGCGCGGCAGGTCTTCCTTAGCCAAGATCTACACGTACGAGGACCTCAGGGCTCTGAAGACCAAGGATGCTTACGACTTGATGGTCCAGGCGGGGTACCTCGGCGACCCCTCCGAGAACGTTTGCCCCAGGTGCGGATGGCCATTGGGTTCGGTGATTCACAGGGGCGAGAAGCGGCATCCAGTCCAGAGGTGTCAGCGCAAGGCCTGCTCGTCGTCCTCGGTGCAGGTGAAGGTCACGAGCGGCACGTGGGCGGATGTGGAAGTGCCTCTCCCGAAGCTGGCGGGCGTCGCCTTCCTGTCGTGCGGCGCCCTGACGCCCCGCATGAGTACAGCCGACATGGCGCTGATTGCCAAGATGGGCCACAAGCAGTGCGAGGCGGTCAGGCAGAGTTTGCTGGAGATCGTCTCGGCTGCTTCGAGGGAAGAGCAGAAGTCGATCGTGCTGAGCGGCCAGTGCGAGACCGACGCCACGACCCTGCGGGTCGTCCAGCTCAAGAACGGGCGCTACATGCACATCCGCGTGTTCGGCATGTGCAAGCGCGGAGACCACGAACACGCCGTCGTGCACATGCTGCCGCCCTTCTATGCGGTCCGTGGCGGCCCGACGCGCCCCGAGAGCACGGATGAGACCGCGCCGCTGATCTCAGCTCACACGGGGGCCGACGTGCTGATCTGGCACACAGACGGAGCGCGGTGCTACCGCCGCCTCGAGAACCACACGAAGGTCAAGCACGCCAAGCGCATCTGGGCGACTGTCAAGACGCTGACCCTGAGCGGGGGCGACGTCCTGTGCTGCTACGGCGGGACGCAGCTCCAGGACGGGCTGTGGTCGCACGTGAAGAACGTCGTCCCAACCACGATGAACACGTACAGCAAGGAGTCGCAGGCGCAGCTCGAGAATTGGGTGCACTTCTGGGCGTGGCGCTACAGGCGCGCCAGCTGTCCAGATATGTTTCTCGAGCTCGGCTCGGCCGTCGCCATGGCCAGGTTGAAGGGCCACGTCTGGTGAGAACCTGCCTGTGCGCTAGAGGGGGCCGCATGTGTAAATAATCGCCATCGGCCGAGAGGACAGGGGGGGGGAACCTGTCTGGCGAGGACCGCGGATAAAAAATAATCGTCAGCGGCCGAGAGAGAGAGAGAGAGAGAGAGAGAGAGGGAGAGAGAGAGATGGATATACGGAGCACGGAATAGAAGAGAGAGAAAGATATACAGAGAGAACGAGAGAGAGAGAGAGAGAGAGGGAGGGGGAGAGGCGCCATGAAATTTGGCCAAGAGAGTGGCCCACGGGAGTCCCACGGCTTGTAGTAGCAGTAGTAGGAGGAGCAGGAGGAGCAGGAGGAGCAGGACGAGGGAGGCTCTTTACTCTTTCCTCCCTCCCCTTTCTCCCTTCATGTCTGTACTGGGTACCCGACCTTTGATGACGTCCTCCGCAGGCCTGGGTGGTCCACTCAGGCTGCGGGGGAGGATAGGGGGAGGTGGGGTCTTCTTCTTTCCCTAAACAGCTTGATCCTCGTCGCCAGTACTGAGGAGGGGGGGTGCACCGTTCCCTCGGATGGGCACGCCCCCCCTCCGGGAGCTCTCGATCCCATCTCTCTCTCTCTCTCTCTCTCTCTCTCTCTCTCTCTCTCTCTCTCTCTCTCTCTCTCTCTCTCTCTCTCTCTCTCTCTCTCTCTCTCTCTCTCTATCCTTCTTTCTTTCCCTCCTCGAAGCAGCACTCTCAAGATCGTCGTCATCAAGCGTCTGTGGTCTCACAGCGTCACAGACTCATCATCTTCATCAGCCTCCCCGTAGCCTTCTTGGCTACAGCCCTGCTTTCGAAGATTCCCTTTCAAAGGAAATGCGCAGCGCCTACTGCACACCTTAATGCCAGGACATGCTGGCAGTTTTCGGTCTGGCGGCGGCGCTCCTGAGCCTGCTGCATTGAACAGCGGTGCTCCTCAGACTCCGGCACTGAACAGCGCTGCTCCTCAGCGTGCTGCATTGAGATCCGTCTTTCGACACACGTCGTTTGCGGCGACCGCCCTCCCACCATTCAGGCACGAAAGCGCGCAGTGAGGCTTCTCCGCCTCCACTTGGACGGCCCCGAGGCCCCGGAGCCGGACGCGCCGGTCGCGCGCCTCGTGGTCGGCGACAACAACCTGACCTCCGCAGAGGCTCGCGAAGCTTTCCAGCGCGAAGCTGACGACGAGGCGTTATGGGAAGTCTTCGCCTCCCCGGCAGACCGCAAGGGGGGCAACGTGGCGGTCTGCGGGGCAGTCGCGCGTTTCCGGCCCGTCGCTGTTGGCGCGTCGTACCTGGACCGTGGCATGCGCAACGACTCACACGATGCCGTTGCGGTCGTGCTCGCCCTCCCCGGTGCTTCTCAGCCTGGGGAGGCAAAGAAACGGATGATTGCCTTCGGAGAATTGTCTGTTGCCGTCGACGACTCCGAGGCCGGGGCCGAGGAAGGGGCCACCTGGTCCCGGTCCCCGAGCCCCTCTCCTTCGCTTTCGGCGACGTCGGAGGCCGACGTCGAGAATGAGGTTAGCCAGCGCGCGCAGGACCTGCACAGTGAGATGAGGGAGTTTTGGGGCCAGAGGTATGACGAGCAGTACGACC